CCTAGCAATCAGACTCGCAAAGACCCAACTCTGTATTGTACTACTACTAGTTAGTGTTCATTTGATAACGAACTATAGTAAATGTGTTGTGGACGATTGAACTGGAGCACACGCAGATATTGTTGATTCATTTCCTTCACAGCAAAGTTCTATAAAGTACTGAGTACTACTCCTAATTTCTAACCCTCTCTTCTTCTGCAGCTACAATTGAACAAAGATTGTATATACCTGAACTACAACAGCGGCTGCTTCAGAACAAACATGACGAACTAACACATTCAGGCTAACTCATGTGAAAAGCTTCTGCAATTCCAGCTTCACCAGAGACACACCTCTCGGCCTACAGGATCATGGAAGGAACTAGCGCTAGTGCTACTAACTGGACTCAACTCCACCACCGCTGCTTCTATCCGTCAGTGATTTGCCAGAGATTAACGAGGCAGAAATTGAGCCATCGTCGGTGGAGAAGTTCTTCTATCTACATAAGGGTGGTACCTGGTACGTAAAGCGCCGCTCACCTTGGGCGATGATGGCGAGCTCGGAGGAGACCCAGGAAGCAGGACGACGACGGCAGCGAGGTGGAAGCATCTGTGGCGAGCCCCCGCCTCTGCCGCGCCGGCCAGCCTCCGCTGCACCAGCCCACCTCCGCTGCGCGACACCCCGGTGGAGCTCCTCTCCGTAGTAGCCCGCCTCGGCTCCACCAGCGCCAGGCACGGGGACTGCGCCGCCCGCCCAAAATCGCCCGTGCATCACGCCTCGTCGAGCCCACGCATGGCCTCCGTCGTGAGACAGCTCGGTGGAGCTACTCTCCGCAGCGGGCCGCCTCGGTTCCGCCGGCGCCAGGCACGGGAACGGCGCTGCCCGCCTAAATCGCCCGCCCATGACGCCTCGATTTCGTCCGGTGGAGTTCCTCCCCGTAGCGGCCCGCCTGAGCTCCGCCGCCGCAAGTCACTGGAATGGCGCCGCCCGTCCAAAATCACCGCAGATGTGCTCCTCGACGCCGGCGCATCCGCGCATGGCCTCCACTCGCATCGGATGTGAGGTCCTATGAGTGAGTCAACGAGGAGAGAAAGGGGATAAGGTAGGCGGGCGTTCCGTGTGCGTTGAATGAAATCGTTCGGACGCGGCAGTTCCACCGCACGGCGCTCGTCGCTGACGTGGCGCTCGAGTCCGGAACCCAGGTCTCCAAGATTCGTGCAGGCTAAATGGACAGATATGAAGGCGTGTGGACCAGTTGATATGTGCCACACGTGTGGGCGTTAACATTTCCGAAAAACAAACCTAATCTAGGAAAGAGGCGTTCCCTGTGGCTCTTTCTGCTTCCAAGCATCAAATTCTAGAGTACAATTACTGCTGGCCCCGTCCAAAGCACACACAGGCGCGCACACACATAAAGAAAGAGAAAAAAAGCTCACAAAGCAACGCCTGTCGTCTTGAAATACACTGCTCTCTAGTGCAATGATCAACGCTAGTAGTAAAGTGGTAATCAATTACCCCGAAAAAAGTGGTAATCAATTAGTCATCATTGGTGATGCGTATTAGCAACAACACTTCCACTACTAGCAATTGTAGGAGGATTCAATCAATGGGATGATATACGTGTTCGATCGGTAGTACAGTGAGAGGTGAATGTTTTGCACTATAAATAGCGTTCGGTATTCCCCGAGAAAAAATAATGTCTAGTAGTGTAGGTTAGAATTCTAGAGCATAGGGCTAGAAAATGGATAAGAGGTGCTTGTTGCTTAGGCTAGTCGCAATGGAGAGTATCATATACATAGTATCATGCATATGGTATTAGTGTATGACACTATCTCCCTAATGCATGGTATCATACTTCCTTCATCCTTTGAAGAGTGTACTCCCAACTTTGTTGGAAAGTCAAACTTTTTTATATTTGACCGAATTTATATAATAATACATCAATATTTGTGCCATCAAATTTGTAGCATTAGATTTACTAGTAATTTGTACGTGTTTTCCACGTTTGATTATCACGTGTAATCACAATACTAAATCATTCAAACTAAAAGTAAATATCCCATGTCATGAAAATCACGGTGCCACAACGAATTACTATATGAAGAATGCATTAGCAAAAAACATATATATTTTTATTCCAAAAAAATGTTATTGGCGTGTTTGTCAAATCTATTAGTTTTTCAAATTCGGACTTGACATATAGATAAAATTCGTTTGATGTTATAATTTTCATCTTTCCACACCTTCAAGCCAGTGTTTTCTTATAAACTCTATTTCTTGTGTGTGTTCTTGACCGCACAAAACAGACAAAATGTTTTAAATAACTTAACGCCTCACTAAGAGAAGTAAAGTAAAATATAAATCTAAAATTTATACTGGGTTTTCTTAATATTTCTAACACCGAACGGCAATATTGCCATGCAAACACATTTTCCTACGGTGAGATAATCCTTTTGAGAAAAAAAAGAAATACTTCCGTGCATCCATTCAACGGTACCCATGTGAGGAGCAAATTGCTAATATAGGTTGTTAACCTCTACATGCACACTTGTTTAGATGCTTCAAGCCTATACTGGAGTACTACTTTTCTAACACGACCAGTTCACAACATGATTCTAGCTCGCCACGTGAAAGCTCGAGAGAGATACCCCAGCCTCGTTTTGGCGCCCAGCTATGGGAGCGAATCCTAGAGACCATGACCGTTGGATCAGTAGAGTTCAACATTGATAATTGGCAGTGATTCACTCCGTTGAAGAAATCAACGGCTAACAAATGCTCCCAAAGTTTGAAAATTGTTGTACTATAGTAGTAGAGATAGAGATAATAAAAAAAAATATTTTTATCATATACCTTTTTGGTTTCACAAACATTGATATAATTTTATAAAAACACAGTCAAACTTTGAGATAGTTTGACCCTCCAACTTTGTTAAAAGTACACTCTTTGAAGAACGGAGGGAGTATATTAGTATCCTATAGTATTTTATTTATTGTCATGCATGACACATAGTAACATAACATTTCTTATGATATTATATTATGATACGGTACTCAACCCTCTCTTTCTTGATTTAATTCCATGTCACCTCATCGAAATAGTATAGTTGGTATGCATGATACTAGTTATGATACTCCCATTACGACCAGCCTTAGACTTTACTACAAAGTGCCGATTGCGTAGTTCGGTCCTAGTGCTCATGTTAGTAAGGCATGCTACCAGTTCATGTTCATGTTTGCAACTTTGCACACACCGGCTAGTAATGCATGTGCGACAGTGCGAGAGGTAGCGATCAACAGCGCCGCACCCACATTTTTTGATTAGTAATCAACCTATGCTTTGGCTTTTGGAGAAACTAAACTGTTTCAGGCATGCCCGAGGACGACCGTGCGCTCGCGGACGACGTTGTCAACCTGCACGGCGGCGTGCCCACTGCGTGGAGGGCGACGGTGTGCTCGCGGACGACTTCGTCCACCACTCGAGTGGTGTCGCCGGCAAAACAATCGTGAGAGACGGCGGTGTCCAGCGACGGCAACATGCATGCAGACGTACACGCGCCGGAGGTGCGTGCACCATTTTATGGTGACGATGTTATGACCAACCGCTACGGTTACATGTCCGGCTTCCCGTGCTCTGTGTGGTGGTCATGAACGCGGCAACACAAACTGCCTGAGGTGCGGACGGTGGAGCCACTTGCCCGCGGACGGCAACGTCCACGCGCTCGAGCGCGACGGCAGCACTGTCAAGACACTGGCAGGAGACGGCAACGACCAGTGAATTATCACACTGCATAATAGTATAATTTAAGCACATATCGTGTAGTGCCTACATGTATACATTTTATAAGCATTAATGAATTAGTGACATTGATGTTACCATTCAATAAAAGAATGTTTTTTTTGCACAGAATGTACAAATAAATTGCACTTTTTTCATATGCAAGAATAAAATACAATTGTGTAATTCTCGAAATGGAAATTTTCTTATAAGGAATGAATTAGTGGCATTAGTATTGTCTTTAAGAAGGAAACAAATAAATATAAACTAATACAAAGTGATAATAATAAAATTTTGTAAGAAAGAATGAATTGGTGTTATTAGTATTACCATTTAAGAAACAAGAAAATAAAAAAAACCACAAAATTTGGACAAAACTTACACAGAAATTGCGCCTTTTTACAATATATTAGACATGTACCCATTGAGTCCACGGAGCATTTTCAGTCAGGCCAGACTCACAAAACCGCTATTGCCCTCAGCGCTCAGATTTTTCGCCCGGCGTAAACTTGAAGATCTGGCATTGGCACTAAAATTAGATGTTAGGATGTTAGGACCACGTGACATATGTGGTAAGCTATCCCAACAATTCAAAAAAAAAAACTAGATGTCGGGATAAGGCAACACCATGTTCAAAAGTGGAAGTAAATCAAGACGTTTCGATAAGGACTAATGACATGCATTAATTTCTTAAAAAATATCCTTCTCACCATTAATAAACCAACAAATTACCTACTCCTTCCGTCACAGTTTAGAAGGCACAGTTAAATTTACGTGTGTTTTCACAATAGACAAGGTTTAAGGCGCATTGCATTTATTTCTAGTAGCTAATTAGTAGTCCGATAGTACTATTTCTATATGCATGCGCAGTGTGAATGCTATTTTTTAGCCCATTTCACAACCAATAGATAACCACCTAGGTCCCAGAGAATTTCCAAGCGCGCCTTCTAAACCGTGACGGCGGGAGTAGGTCTACAGATAAACACCGACATGAGCTTTTTTTTAGCTCTTCATTAAACCATTCCTAGCATTGGCACTAAAATTAGATTTTAGGATAAGGCATAACCATCTTCAAAAGTGGACGTAAATCAAGACGTTTGGATAAGAATTAATGACATGCATTAATATCTAGAAAATAACAGTGTCATCATTAATCAAACTTTTTCTATAAATATAGATCATGGATGTACGCATACACAGAGCAATTTTACTTAGGAGGAAAGTCACGCCCTGCCCCATCGATCGCTATGGCACGGTGCATGAAGAACATCGGCAAAGGACTATTTGCAGCCACCAAGGTGTTGATATGCTTGTGCCTGGTGACGCTGCTTGTCATGTCATCTGGTTCTGGTAAGCTATCTTAAGAAAAAATATTGATCCAAGTTAATTTAGTTTTTGTTTTTGCGAGTAGAAGTTAATTTAGTTGGTTGTTAATTTCGGACGTATGAGAAGAGATGGGATCGGAAACCTGTGATAAAGATTGGAGCCTGACATGGGACAACAGCTCATGTATCCTTCACGGCACCTGCAACAAGCCCTGCAGAAGAGAGAACTTTGAGCGCGGCATCTGCAAAAAACTCTTTCATTGCATGTGCTACAGACACTGCAACATTGAATCCATCTAGCCATATATATGCCGTTTTCATGCATGCTCGATCGAAGCTATTGCTATGAGTTCATGCATTTTGAATGAAAAAAATTTATGAATTTAAGCCGCTCTGTCCATCTATCCATGGACAAATAACGGAATAGATCTTGATGGGGCAATGTTCATTTGCTACAATATTTTTCCCACTGTTCCGAATGCTCAATAGGTGAGAGGTTCTCCACCAGAACTTTCCATTGAAATTGGCCAAAATGTGAATTACAGTCTATTACCTACTAATTTATATCTAAAGATAAAGTCATTAGTGCTTCTAGCGGTACGTCATATAAATTGCCCCTAAAGTTAAAAAATATTACACACTGATGCCCCTATAAGTGACCAAAAAGTGTTTCACACAGGGCAATTCCTAGTCTATGCCGTCCCACACAGTAGGGGTTTCCTATACTGCACTCTGCATGCTGGGAGAAAACGCACCACACCCGTTTGCTGCGGCCCATGTGCGGGCGGCCTCTTTTTGAATTTTATTTTTCATTTTTATTCTTTCATTTCTGTTTTCGTTTTTTCTCTTTCAATTAATTTGGTATTTCAAAAAAATTCATAAAATTGAGAATTTTTAAATAAAATATTCAATAAATCATAAAATGTTTGTAAATTATTTAAAATGTTCGCATATTCAAAAGATATCGTAAAAAACAAATGTTTGGGAAATCAAAAAATGTTCACGTTTAAAAAAAATCATGTATTAAAAAGTTAATGAAATTTAACAAAGTGTTGCCAAAATGTTATCGGTGATGCAGCAAAATCTTGTAATTTTTAAAAATGTTATCATATTCAAAAAATGTTCACAATTTTGAAAACAAATGTTTTGGGAAATCAAAACATATTCATGATTCTTATTAAAATTTTGTGTATTAAAATATGTTAAGAAATTTATCAAAATGTTCGCCAAAATGTTATTGGTCATGCAGCAAAATGTTGTCATGTCCATTGGAGATTCTGATTTTTTTTCTCCCGTTGCAATGCACGGGCCCTTTTCCTAGTTACTGATAATGAGATTATTGCTTCTGCCTGCTGTCACTAATTTTACAAAAAAAATGTAGTTTTGACTAATAAACCCGCAGTCTACTTATAAGAAAAGAAAACGATTCGGCCACTTTTTTTTCCCATCTCGGGCTAACAAACCGAGCCACATCGCTGCATTGGGCTCGGCCCACGTTGCCTCCACTATTGGACTGCTGCCCCCTTGCTTCACCAGTTTTTTTATAAGCAAAGGAAATCCCGATTCCTCTACAACTGGGAGCAAAGCAAGAGAATCCACCAGTTAAAATTTGTTTTGATCCAAACAAAGTCCTCGACGGTTCCGGAGTATGAGCGCAATGTCGGCTGGGATTGTGGGGTTCAGGAGTTGAAGAGGATCGGGTGGACATGGCGGCGGCGCCGCTACGGAACACGAGCGCAATCCGGCCATCGTACCACGCCCCGCGCCTTTGGCCACGCGCCACTCGCATCCCCCTCGGCCACACGCCTCCGCCACATCATCCAGCTCCACCCCCGACCAGTCGCGCCACCAACGCCAGGTACAACTCTTCTGGTTGCCGAATCCAACCGTCGAGTCAGCGCTTCGAGCCGGATCCTACCACTACCCTCTGCTTGGACCTCAATGTGGTTTATTGATTTGAAATCAAAGACATGTAAAAATTGGTTGGGTTGGGTTTAACATACCATGGTGGGACTATTTAATAGAAAAAAGAATTGTAATTTATACCACACATTATCTAAGGCTAGCTGGGTGGTATGCATTGTTCCTGGTTATAGCCTCGATCGGTTGGGAGTTTGATCCCCACATCGGACACTTATTTTTTTGCCAAGGCTGCTACCGCACCTGTGCCAGCTTACTGCATGCGGACGGCTGACGTTTTTTGACACTACAGCTAGGAGAGTACAAGAAATGGTCAATTGGATGCCTATAGAACAGGTCCATAATATAGAAGATTACAGTTATCGTGACTCACTAAATAAAAAGAGCAACGTGCAGTTATCTTACCAGTTGGTTTGAATCTTAGGTAAGGCGCCTCCATCTGTAGCATGAGCAACATTCAGAGAAAAAACAAATTATCCTGATTTCCCACAATCTCAGAAGAGAAATAAAGGAAAGAAATGTGAAAAACAACACAACTCAGTGAATGGCTCATAGCTGAGTAAGCCAAACTCAATGGATGCCCTCGTATTTAATTCAAAGTCTTTACTGTGTACGCCTTGGAAATTTTCAATATTTATAAAGAACAAAGTGTACGTCTAGACATGTGGGGACCCTGAGAACAAAGTGGACTGCCTACCGAGTTGTTTGGTGGCGTAGTAGTACGAAGCCTTGTAATGCTCCGGCCATGGTGGCGTTTGGACGGCGGGCGTCACCATCAGGGCTCCGCGACCTCCACCACGTCCGTGACATGCACGTCCACCGCTGCAGATGCCATCAGCACGCCCGCCGTCGGCCTTTCGCTTCTTCAGCTTTTCCTCCTTTGCAGTCTCTGCTTTGACGCGACGATTTTGCCGCCTCGCCAAGTTTATCATCCGGGCGAGGGTGATGCTGGGATCCTCCGGCACCTCCACCACCACCTCCATCTCCGACAGGTCCTCGTCCGGTTCCACGCGACAGTGGCGGGAGAGAAGAAGAAAGTGAGGGAAATGAGCCGGAATTGCTTGGAGAGCGGCGGGATGGAAGAGGGGGGGATTTTGGAGCGAAAACAGTGTGGGTGCTACAAAAGCACGGGCTACGCCTTCCTTTTGGGTGGGCCATGTGTGTAAGAGACAGATGTAGCTTGTGTCCGAACTCCGCAAAGCCCCCACATTTGGTTGCGGTTTGCAAGAAAAACGTGGACCGATACAGACTAGCATTGGATGGCTTTAAAGACCGAACCGCGTGGTCCGAATATATGTGGACGGTTTGAGGGTCGACGTTAAAGATTTCCTTAGCAGCTAGTCCATATGTAGGTAGTAAGACAGATGCACGCTCATCCTGTGGCCCACTTGTAAGAGATACATCGTAATCAAGATAGATTAAAAAAAACAAGCCACTTGTAAGTGGTGGTTACTTGATACGCGCGGACAGTTAACTATGCTCTCATTCTAGGAGTAAACGACATGTTCCTTTGTTGGGGAGACAGACGTGGTCCACGAAGACGCGCCCGGGAGAGCTTCCAGCCAGCTTCCTTGTGCGAACAAGTCAGGTCAAGCATGACTATGTTGTTTTTGCTTCCGTCTTGGACCCGTCTACTGTTTCAAAGAATTTTATATCAGAGTTTATCTTGTGTAATGAATGGTGCGGAAGTAGAGGTTGTGTTTAGTACCTCCCATTTTCTCAAGTTTTTTATACCTCATTTTCGAGACAAAAAATCCTCCCAATTTGTTTGTACAAGGTCATCTTATATTTGGAGTCTAATTTTAATCATGATTGACTAGGGGAATATGAGTCATCCGCGAACACGAATACGGGGGCGGCCACCTAACTGCATCTCGAAACTTCCACGCGCATTGGAAATGTAATTAAACAAACCGAACGAATTTGATGCAAACCGAATATTTTTTGTGCAAAGGTCTACATTTAATACTAAACGGGGCGGTTTTGACAAGTTTAACTAAAATTTAAAAAATCTAAAAGAAACTACGTGAGGTACCAGACGGTAACCTCATACACATGCCCTCACTAGCCGACCAAGCCACCATCATCTTCCACTCCGTCGCCCGTCACCGATGACGTCGTCATCGTCGCCATTGTCCTTCCAGCGACGAAAAAACAAGTAGGGACCGAGGACGGCCTAATTGGTTGTCACCTGCCGCTTGCGGCGGAGTCGATTTTTCCTCTGCCGCCGCGAGCATGGCGGAGTCGGTCACGGAAGGCGCCACGGTGGGGCCGAACCTCTCCTTGCCCTTGCCAGCGACGAGGACGGCGGCGCGCTGCAACTCAGCCACGCTAGTCGTTACAAGTTGGTCTCCTGAGGCAGCACTGGCGCAACACGAACTTGTCTGTGGAGGTCCTACACCGCTCCTCCGCCCAGGGCAATGCGAGGTCCGGGTCATAGCTAACCCAGGCGGGCGCAACGCGAACGTCTCCGTGGTGGTCCTAGACCATTTCTCCGCCAATGCCAATGCAAGGTCCGGGTCATTTCGGATCCAGCCCAGCGCGAAGTCCGACGTCCCAAACATTGTTGGGTGCTATGTGTTAGGCTGGTCATAGTGGGAGTAACATAGGTACTAGTAACATACATGCCACATAAGCAAAAAAGATGATGTGTCAGGTAATTAATGAAGAGAGAGGCAAATAAAGTAACATAATATGTTACCATCACATAGCGATTCCTAATGCAAAATGAGTCTACAAAGTAATAAATGAGATGATGCATGACACTACACATATGTTACTACCCACTATAGAGGAAGTAACATAGACTAATAACATATGCATGTTACTAGTCTAAGTTACTCTCCACTATGACCAGCCTTATGCTGCTCCGCCACGTCACCTCCCTTGATGCACTCTCTTCGTTGCCATGGCGCTCCGCGACGTCATGCTACCACCGAGGTAGTGCAAGAGGTGCCCGCACGCATTCGTGAGAACGGGGAGTGTTCCTCCTCCTTCACGGCCATGCCACACCAGAGACAACACGGTGGTGACATCGGCTGGTCGGACTGGCCGAACATGCTACACTGTGTATTCTTGTCGGGGCGTTTGCCTTATGTTCCTGTGTAGGTTATTCACTCATGCACACCATGGCTCCGTAATTGGTCTGTCCTTTAGAGGCCGGAGGACAAAAACCTTTTTATGATGACGTCTATCTGGCTGGAGCATACGGTCAGGGAAGTTTACTCCCTCTATAATCTATGGATAGTACATTCTAGGCTGGACTGATTTATTATTGCTGTAAAATGAACGTTTTGTTGTTGTATTGGACATGCTAACTGTATGCATCGTGCAATGCACAGACCTTCAATGCGTTTGTATCACCATAATATATCAATCGA